ATGTACACACTGCAAGCAGAAGATAAAACTACTATTGCCAGACCTCGTTTCAAACTTGTTAAGGTTCAAGGTGGTATGCTTTCAAAGACAGTTCCTAACAAATATAAGACAACTCCTGACGAATATGCTAAAGAAGTTGAAAATGACGACTAAGCAATTCTATACCATGCGTAAACTGTCATGTAAGGTGGCATGTAGTCTTTACTTTGTCCCGTTGTTTGTGTATATCCTGAAACGAAATGTGTATGGTTTCCTTCTCCCTGAGTGTCACTCCAGTAACAATTTATAGCAAACTTAACGTCGTCTTTAACATCATATCCTTTACCTTTTGTCATTCCTGACCAATCCCAATATCTATGCCTATGCCAACCTGCTTGAGATGTACTTAAATCTATGTAGTGACTGTGCGCAGGTAAATTTTCACCTGAAATCGTTTTACTTCCTCCTGTTTCCTTTGAAGAGTTTGCACAATACAAAAACCTGTCAACTATTTGTTCCCATGCACCAACACCAAACATTACTTGAGGACCTCTTGCTTCCATAGATGTATAAATAGAACCTACTGGGTTCATTAAATCAAACATATGAGACATTATAGGATTGTCTCTTTTGAACTTAAAATATAGTGCAACTATTTCAGGTTTCTTCTGGTTTGTGTCAGAATATTTTTTATAATATAATCTTATGTTTTCAGGGTAGGTAAAGTCTTGACTATAATATTTGTTTCTGTCATCTTCATAATAGTATACTATTCTCGTTTTTTCTATTGCATTATATCTTTTATATCTATAATAATCTAAATATAATGTTAGCTTTTGTTCATCTACATGTGGTGTTCTGACGTCATCTCCATAGTCATAATAATATGGTGCTGGAGCTGGGTCAGGCAATGTCATATCTGTCATTTCATAAACTCTTAAATATTTCTTTTGTTCGTCTCCATATAAGTTTAAGTAGCAGTTGTTGTCTAATGGAACTTTAACTTGTGTACCATCGTTCTTTTTATAGCTTACATCCATTTCATTGTTATTTTTCGGAATGAGTTTATACCGTGTACCATTTTCTAAGGACTGTACCAACTGCCATCTAAAATATTTGTTTTCTTCATTGACAGAAAAGTCACCAACAATAGTTTCAATATTTTTTGTTCCTAGCAAACTTTGGTATATTTCATTGACATATGTTTTATCTGCTTTATTTTCAAGGCTAACGTTTAAGTCTGTTATTTCAGAAGATGTATGTGTATGTCCAACGTCACTTTTCCTGTTTAAGGTTTCTTGTAAGTTTGCAATATTTGCAATGGTATGTGTATGTCCAACGGTACTTTTCCTGTTTAAGGTTTCTTGTAAGTTTGCAATATTTGCAATGGTATGTGTATGAGTCTTTTTAGAATATTCGTTTTCAGCTCTTGTCACTTCACTTGACATTTTATTGTCAACATATGTTTTGTCTGCTAGTTCAGGATGAGTATGTTCTTTTGTTGCATAAGCTTTGTTAGCTCTTTCTTCTTCTTTTGCTATTGCATCGTCTACATATTCTTTGTCAGCTTTGTTGCCAACATCTGCTTTCAAAAGAAGTTCATTTATAGGTTTCTCGTTTAAAGTTCCTTTTGTTGGATTTATACAGACAGTATGGTTCTTATTGTCTTGAAACAGAAACTCATCTGTCATTGGGTTTAATGTCAGTTTTAAGTTTCCTTCTTTCAATGACTCAGATATCTTAGAATAGTTTGAAAAGTTTGTTGTGTTCTTATTTAGGGCTTGCATAATGAGTTGTCGGTTGTGTTGTATTTCTCTCATGGAAGCAATATCTTTCGACATTTTTATTCTAGATAAAATATGCTTCCAATAGAAAAAGAAAATTCAAGAGTTGCTACAACTAAACCATTAGATGAACTTTTTACTAATGTCGGTCAAAAGTTTGAGACAGAGACCGTAAAGCATGAAGGCTATCGTTTTGACTACCCATTAAGATGGCTAAGAGACCCATCTGTCACAAAAGCTATTGGCTTTCGTAGAATGAAGTTCATTTCAGAAGCCATACATGGTTTCCCATTTACGGTCGCTTTTGAAGTTCGATACTATAACAAAGAAAAACGTACGTATGAGAAATTTGAACAGGGAAAACTTTTACAAGTGAATTTGCTTGTAAACTTAGAAACAACTCTTCAAGCTTTTCAAGAAAAATAAACGATATCTATCTCGAATATGCAAACCAGTATAACATTGACGAGGGAGAGTACCATCTCGATATTATATATGACAGGAAAAATGCAACTGTTAAAATCAATAAAATAGAAGACCTTGGAGAAAACGTTTATATTTCTACAAAATATAACAACTTGGCATGGCATAGATTTTTGAGGATGTTAAATCAGCCTGCATGGTATCCAGTACACCCGGACTATTATGAAGTCGAAAACCCTAATGGAACATATGAAAATGTTTTCGACTCAGATGCTATTATAGTTCATGCTTCATTTTCTGGTGCACAAAACTCTTTTTTATGCTTGGCAAATGACTTTTACGAAAAACCTACAAAGCTATATGAACCACCAAGTGGAAGTATTTCAGACTTTCAAGTATGGTTTACTACAGATGGAAGAAAGAGAATAATTCCATTATACCACGCGTTTTACTTAGAACTTAGTTTCATATACAACTACTATCGAACGGTAAAAATATAATTTTTTAATACGGTTGAGGTGTTGGATTTGGTTGCCAACTAGACTGTGGTGCAGGTTCAGGCTGTTGTATAACAGGAGCTTGTTCTCTGGTTCAGGGTCTTTAGGTATAATACCAACGAACTGACCTACTCTTTTACCAATATTTTTGACACCGTTCCAAATTCCTCTTCCGACGGTTTTTATTCCATTCCATATACCTCTTCCAACATTTCGAAAGAAGTTTCCTATCTTACTGAAGAAACCCATTTTACTATATGTAAAAATCTAATGTCCGCCTAGTCTCTTACGTTTCCTGTTGAGTTCCATAGCATTCTTTAACTGGAGCTCATACATTCTGTTTCTCCTCTGGTAGAAAACATATTCTGGGTCAACTCCTGTGTTCGCGTCATCTGCATAAAGTTGTTTATATCCCACTTCAGGGTTTGTATAAAACTCTTTCCATCTCATATTTGCATACCATGGTGGCAAACCTAACGCAGCGTCATTTGACATGGCAGTTTGCATTTGTACATCTGTTGGCACTTGACCATAGTTTGCCATTGCAGTTTGTATTCTAACTTCATTTGGAATATTCTCTGGGTTTGGTTGTCCAGGTTGCTGTGCATTCGCTAAGTTCTGTGCGTCCATTTAATATTAGATAAAAATATCTCTTACGAGTACATATGCTGAACATTTGCTGGTATTGGTTCATCTTCATATTCTCTGTACCTTTCTGCCACGTCAAATAAGTAAATGACACAATGGAAAAAACCTAAAACAAGTAGTCCTATTTCAAACCACATTTACTTACTAGTAAAATTTCTTTGTTATGACACTTTCTCCAGTTTATAGGACCTCTCTCATATTCTATCTTGTCATATCTAAACTCATAGTCATGTATGTCCTCTAACCATCTCATGACACTTTCCAAACCACTTTTATCGGATGTAAAGTAAAAGCATGGATGGTTATGTAAAACGTCTAAAGTTTCTAAAGAGTCTCTCAAAGTCCAGTCTACTTGGTATTGAAAATCCCATGTGTTATAGAACGCGCGGGTCCACTATAAAGAAAACATTTTCCTTGTCTTTATATTTTTCATACAACTCTGTCCAATGACATCTCACAAACTCTATACCCTCATATATTTTTCTATGTTCTCTTTGAAAACATTTGTATAGTTAAGATATAAAACTTTTGACATAAGTGTTTCAATGTCATGAACTCTTATAGCACCACTATATAATAGTCTAGCAGATATACTATCCCAGTCTATATATTCTGCTTTTTCAAAACCTCTCTCACAATATTTTTCTTATCTAATGGTATACGTTCCATCTTACCTATAGGTATCTTTTCTTTTAACTCTTTCAATATTTTGTTTGTCTGTCTGGTATATGTTTGAGACGGTTCATATAGTTGTCGAAGTCATTGCATATAATCTTTGAGTCAGGAAATATTGTATGGCACAAATGAGATATATAGAAACTTCCACCGAACAAGTCTACAAATGTTAGACCATTCGGTAGTTTCTTAAGTTCTCTCAATAGAATATCTTTACATCTACTCTTATTTCCAAAGAAGGGTAACGGTGGTTTTGTAAAATTCATTTTATATATATAATAAAAATGTTTTTTCCTGAAAAGTGACAGAAAAGTGACGGGGGGCTAGAGGGCACGAAGTGCCTGGAAGCCCCACTACCTTTTTTTTTTTTTTTTTTTTTTTTTTTTTTTTTTACGCCTATTCTTACAGATTTTTGAGCTGAATCAGATTATAGTTTGAACAAGGTTTGAGATTTGAGCTATTTTGTTTAAATGATAATATTACCACACAAGGCTTATTTTAAGTGTTTAAGAATTAAGTCATTTTGAAAAAATTGAATATCATTATTTTCCAATATACTCTTTTTTTCAAAAATTCACATACAAGCATACCAAACTTAGGTTGGACTCACATGAACACACATATAAATAGTTAAAACACATTTGGTTGGTCACATATAATATCTTGCACATATAAAATCTTGAGATATTCCAATAAAACATTCATTGCATCATTTAGCTATATCATTACAATATAAACTCAATGTGAATAGGTAAAAAAACACAAAAATATTAGCGCATTAAAAGATATAACATGAAGATTTAAATAAGCACTGTGTTTAAGTATAGTATATGTTTCTGTATAGTATATTGCATCTGTCTGCTTAATATTACGAGTATAGACTTAATATTGAAGAATTTTCCCGTAGCTTCCCAAATTTTACATGTAAAATTTGGGAAACTCACTTTTTCAATGTAAAAAATGGAATATTCACGACAAATTTGCTTTTATTTTAATGACAAGAGTCAAACAAAATTATTTTTTGAGAATTCAGCAAGACATCAATTTACATAAAATTATACTTCCTCCGCGTGCTAGAGAACTTCGGCAAATTACAATTTATGATATTCAAAAAAGAGAAGTACAGTTTAAAATTCATAAATTGACTAATCTCTTAAACAATGACACTATGTATTTGGTCCCTGTATTAAAGGAACTCAATACATTACTTGATTCTTTTGAAAAAATTTCAACTATCAGGCAACAAACTTTATTGTTCTGGAAAGAACATGGAGTTGAAGGCGATCTAATGAATGATATACTTGAATACATGGATAAGTTCTGTTCCGAACATTCACTTCAAGATGTTATTGAAAATTGGTTATCTTTTGTGAATGATGTTAATCATCAAATTGGAGTTGAAGTTGAATTTAAATTTTAATATTTTCTTTTTAAATAAATTATTATTTTTTAAAATTAACTTATTAAATGCCGATAAAATTTATTCTATAATTTAATGATAAATACATTATTCTATTAAATACTTTATTTAATTAAATACTTTAACGTAATTTATACATGAGTATATACTTTTGTTATTTTGTATAAAGATAATAAAGATATAAAATTATAAACATAGCCAGTTTTAAGGTTATTATTTAAATTATGCAAGTTTACAAACTGTCACTTTTTCGTAAATTCTACCACACTCCCTTGGCTCACTCAAGGCCAAGGAATGGTAAGTCCTTTACCTTAGAGTGAAGTTCCTCTGATACCCCTCATCAAATGAGGGGTACCAGAAGAACTTTGCATTTTTCAATAAATATTGCATTAACTAGGCCCCAGTGTACCAGGTGGCATACCTATGGTAGACTAGGTCAAAGTTCTTCTGAGGTCTCTCATTGAATGAGAGACTTCGGAAGAACTTTGCCTGATGTGGCTATAAATGCAACACTTAGCCTAATATAAAGTCAGTAGATAACATGATGCTGCTTTATTGAAATAATACAAAATTAATATAAACTATATTTATTGGTATTACTAATAGGAATAATATGAACTGAAACAGATATTATTATTATGATAAACTTATTATCAGTTTTGAATTTTTACCTTCTTAACAATAAAAAAATTCCATTTTTTCTTATTGTTTTCTAAAAAAAATTTACCTTATGTATTTTGGTTTGGTAAGCTTTTTGACCACGCATGGTTTGGCAAGGCTGAGAGGGTTAGCTATCCGTCAAAAAAACCTCGAAAATTTTAAATATTGATATAGATTTTCATCATTTACTTAAAATCGATTGTTTGCAGTCGATGTTATCAAATATTATTAAATTCAAATATACTTGAACATACTACAAATTGTTTTTGGAACTTATCAACATTTCCCCAATTTAACAATACTCCAACTCTCATACACAGTTCCCATTACCACGGTCTCATTTTAAAAAGAAATGATTAATAAATTCTAAGATCTAACGATTTAATTACCCAATTCGAGTTAGTATACAAGTCTTGGGTATTGTGGCACTGCGTTCCACCTTACCCAATACTTGTGAATTTGACACTTTACGAAACCGTTAACGTATATTTTACAACACAAACGACAACACTAACTTAACCTTAAATATTTACAAAACCACCACCCACTTCACTTCACTAACGAACTCACTAATGTAAAAATAAACGTTCTCACTATCGTTCTCACTAACAACTTCACTAATGTTCTCATAAATTTTCCTCAATATCTTCATCATCAGTGTTAACCCTATTGTAGTCATACTTGAAGCCATAAACTTTCTCTAACTTCTTAACGTACAATTTACATAACTTACCTTCGTCATCGTATGGTTTAATGATATAACTATTTCTATCTTTATAAACAGTCAATGAAAAGTCAACTGGTCTCGGATGTATTTGAAAGAACATGTTATGCTCAGGAAGGAAGAATAAATGTTTAAATGTATGTTTGTTATACTGTGGAATTCGAATGAGTTGCTTTTGTTCTGTCATTTACATCCAAATAAAAATTTTCAGTAAACTTAAAAATAAAATAAAAAATTAATGATATCACCACCCTCACACGTATGAAAACATAGCACAAAAATAATGTTTATGTTAGAATGTTAGATCTAACACGTTTTCTAACCTCATTTCTAACCTGTTGAATTCATTGCTTTATAACTCTCTTCCTTGGTTTCTTTTTAGTTGCTTTCTTCACGTCTGTCTCCAACTTGACTGTCTTTCTTCTTCGTCCGTAATGATACCAGTTACTTCCACCAGTCAATGGGTCAAATGGTCTTTCGTAAGGGTTTCCATACATTCCATAGGGACCATACGGAAGAACTACTGGTGGAGAAGAAACATTTTCTTTAGTTCCATCGACTCTATTTAAATGCATTGTTTCACCTTTCATCTGGTCATTAAAGTCTTTTGCATGTTTTGCAAACTCATCGTCCTTTCCTAAAGCATTTTCTGACTCAGTCGCAACCAAATTGGATGCTTTATTTATGAGCCCTATTTTATTTAATCTTAACTTCTTTGCAACCCAGCCTCCAATCTTTCCTTTATTTGCATCTAATGTCTTCGAAACTCTTCCTCCACTCATTTTATTTACTGCGTCATAAGCCCCAAGTGCTTTTGCTCCAAATGCTAATGCTTTTGTTCCCATTGCGCCTAAAGCTGCCCAAGCTACCATTTACACCATATTAAAATCATCTCTCTTCAATATTATCTCATAAAAGTTCTCGTTACTGGAGAAAGTCAATGAAACATAAACATTCTCATTCATAAACTTCTTTCTTATCTCATCTATACGCTTCAAAATGTCTGAACAATTGCTAACATCTTCTACAACAGTTATTTCATCATGAATGACCTTAAAAACAAGCTCATTTAATATGCTATTAAAATCATCTCAATAATGAGTCCATCCTTTCCATCTTTAGGTAGCACAACATCTTTCATTGAAGAAGGTTCGACAAGTCTTATATTAAACTTACTGACAAAGTTTGTTATACTATAATGCTTCGGCGGCGAATACATATAGTTTGAAAGACATAATATAGATTCTTCAGCAAATTCACTTATACTGGATTTTATAACAATGTTCTCACGAGACCAAATACCACCAATTGACAATCTTGTAAGCAATCCTGCTGAACCTTCTACTGTAAACGTCGATGGTAACATTCCACGAAGGTCATCTATTGACATCGTTGAGTCACTGAATTTAAATATTTTCTTAAAGCAATCGTCATTATCTAACCATGCAATAGCTTTGAAGTTTTCATTCGAATATACATCTGCTTCATTAAATGTAAAACCTGACTTCTTTGCAGAGACGACTTTAAAATCTATTGCATTTGTTTCAAAATTATATACTATGGTAACTTCTGAAGGTAATGGATGTCCTTCCGCAGTCAGTTGTTCTCTCACTACCGTTTGAAGCTTTGTGTTAAAAACTTTCATGTCATCTCCTGTGTCTAGGTTCACATACACAGCAACAGGAAAACTATCTTGCTTCTTTGTTCATCATTATACCTCAAAACATTAAAGTTCTTCAATAATATTGTTCTTCCTGCTGGAATACTTCGAACCTGTCTGATTTCAATAGCTTTCTCACCTCCTACATACTCTACCCAGTGTCTTGGATATTCATAAGTATACTGACTTTCTTGAATTTTGGTTGGTTTCATCATAACGTGTTCATAGTATATCTTTATACTCTTGTCAGTTAGACTCGGTGCTATGTTCTGAATATTTCTGACTTGCATTTTTAATGGAGATAAAATGAAGCATTTAATACATGACGTAGATGAAGACATGAATGAAACTACAGACAAACTTAACTCTTCTCTATTCTTCCTTTCAGTAAGGACTATGAGTTCTGTTCAAATGGTGTTTATTTCTATTGTGGAAAGATGGGTTCAGGTAAGACATTTAACCTCATTCGTCATATACTCATAACAGACGTTTAGGAAATGACTCATATTATGACCAAATCATTATATCAGCAACTTCAGACTCTATGGACTCAACAGCGAAAACATTTATGTCAAAAGTTCAAGCCTCTGTCGTTAAAGTTCCAGACAGTGAACTCATTGAATTTCTTCAACGTTACATTCGACGTAAGAGGAAATATTATGCCATCGTTGAATTTATACAGTCAGGAATGCAAAAGACTTCTGAGGAGATGGAAAGAATTATTGACAAACACCACTTACGTCAATACTCAGGAGTTTACGATATGAAACGACTTACAAACTACATTCTGTCAAAACTTTCAAAATACCCCTTCAAAAAATATCCTTCAAATACTTTGTTAGTTTGCGACGACTTCGCCGGAAAAGGTTTAGTGTCAAAAGCAGACTCACCATTAGCTAACATCATAACTAAAGTCAGACATTACCACTTAACTGTAGCAATACTTATGCAAAACATGGCGTTTCCTTGCTTTAAACATAAAACGTCTCATAACTGACTTCGTTATCTTTCAAGGTTTCTCACGCTATGACATTGAACTCATTTGGAAACAGTCAGGTATAACATTACCTTTTGAAGAAATTTGGGAAGCATATAAGTCTCTCATCTCTCCTCGTTCATACCTTGAGATTCATATCATGACTAATACCATTAAAGTCAAAAACATTCCATGGGAACGACCAACATTGTTTTAAAGTTTAACCTTCAATTGACTGATGGTAAACAAATTCCATGCATCTCTGTCGCCATTTCTGTTAATATTTTTGCTGTCATTCATATCATCCACTTCCCCATCCGTTAACTTTTGAGGATATGCGTTAGAATAGCTGTTCTTAAATGAAGGCTTTTCACCTTTTAGCGCATAAACTCTATAACTTTCTGCATACTTATGTTTGAACCTCCTGAGCCATCATTGACATAAATTTTTATAGGCTTCCCACCCTTTGTTCATGTTCCTGCTTCTTCCCTTAGCTCTTTTGTTCAGTAGTTCTACATCTTTATACACAGCTCCTGTCTCAGTGAATTCAACAATATTTTCATTCGTTAGCTTTACATTCAAAACCCTTGTCGAGTATATTGTTCATTTCATACATATAAAAGGTTTTATTCTATATGAAATGAGAAGCAAATCCATCTTAGCTGGTGCCGTTAATGTTCCAATTGAACCAACATCAAATGTTGACTCACGAACGACAAACAATATTGTCATAAAGAACTATAGTTCAGAGTGTTTGAAAGAAAAAGAACCAGAACTTAAGTCGGGAGGGCTCAAAGAGCCCATCATGGCGCATGGCGCCGTGAATTTAAACTCAGCTTCAAACGCTAACGCTACATCAGATGTTAAGTTAGAGTATCCACCACTGGACCAAATTCTTTCAAGAGAAGCCAACGACAACCCTTACACAAATGTTCAAACAAATCCTTCAGATAACGTAGACCATTACCTTCTTCAGTTAT